CATCATGAGCATAAATGAGTTAGCCTTGATATTTGCTTTGTGAATTGGTAGAATAATTTGAGGGCTAGATGTTTTACATTTGTTTTAGACTATGGCAAACATTAAATAATTAGAAATTACCTATATGACAATGGTTTAACTTTATACTAAAGATGATATGGAGACATCACCTCAGACTTTAGAAAATTTAGTACACGCTTGATGCCAGAGTTTTGGTAATAGTGAAAAATCAGTTTTACTATAAAACAAACTTCCATTGTGTAATAGGCAGATTAAATCTTAATCATTGATTGAATCAGCTTCCTACAAGGTGAAAACTTCAGACTCTCCAAAATATCAAACTAAGAATTGATTTTTCCCAGACTGATAACCAAAATGTATTAGTTAGTATAGTTTAATAAGTGTTGTGTAAAAACTATTGCAGTTTACATGCATGCACTGGATTAAGAATTAAGCATCATATAGCCCATCGGGAATTATGTTTTAGATAATCACTGAAGACATGGAAGGAAGACTGTAGTCTATAAAGGGAAGTAATTAAAATGTCAGCATGAACTTGTATCAATCATGCATATGTCAATCTTCTATTGATAAAAGCTAGAATACAACCACTGTGAAACAATTAAAAATTGTAGGGGCCAGGGAGATGGCTCAATGGAATAAGCGCTTCTCTGGCAAGCACAAGGGCCTGAGTTCAATCCCTGGTTCCGCAAAAAAAAAGAAAAGAAAAATTGTGATGGTCCACTGTGGTTTGATCACATCTTTGTTGAACAAATAACACTTATTCTAATAGGGACATCATACAAGTTATTTTATTTATTTATTTATTTATGTATGTATTTGGCGGAACCGGGGATTGAACTCAGATCCTTGCATTTGTCAGTCAAGCGCTTATCCTGAGCCATCTCCCCAGCCCCGATGCAAGTTATTTTAAAATGTCCTTAAATTAATTTGAAACATTACTCTTTCTACTAATATATCAAATTCTTTCAAAACAATCAAGGAAGAAATGACTGACAAAATTTTTATGCAAAAATAGAGTTGACTAACCAAAGGAAAAATTTACAGTTCAAATTATATATATTGAGTGCCACCTTAATTAGGTTACCACTAGAGTGGCCCAATAGTGACACATGTCCTTTGGAAGTATTAATCTCATCCGCGTGCATCTATCTAGATGTTTTCCTTATTTTTTCCCACATCATCGAGCTTTTGACACATAGCATCTCAAAATTATCCTGGATTTCATACTCTTAAAGTTTTCCCGTATCATGAAAACTAAAAGAAGGTAAAAATATTCAAGTGGGAGGTTACATTTACCGTAGAGAAAAAGTTTGAAGTTAGAATCTGATTCAAGCAGACTATTATTTCCCAATGAGAATTTAACAGTTTGTCATTATTCTATGTGGTGATTTAAAGCAAGTGAAAATGCTTTGCAATTTTAGGGCCCTATATAACTTATCACATATCTATAGGCATTTGAAGTCACAGCTACTGCTAGCAGTGGTGAAATGCACAGAAAAATCATATATGGAAAATACTAATGACACTGTTTTAAATTGATCATTTAAAATTCCATAGAATAGAGAATGGTACATGTTGGGTTGAAAAACTGCCTTTCTATAAATGAGATAGGTTTCTGCACAAATCATCCTTGATAGGATTTTTTTAATTGGCATGCTGTTTGATTTGACTTATAGCAAAATAATTTCACATATATGTACCATAATTATGAGATTTAAATTAGCTAAATGCAAAAACATTTAATATGGAGATTAATAGATTTGTTTTAATAAACATACTTTACTTTCAGCTGGGTATGGTGTTACACACCTGTAATATTAGCATACTGGGAGGCTGAAGCAGGAGGATCATAAGTTTGAGTGTAGTTGCATAGAGACTTGGTGAGACCCTGTCCCAAAATAATAAAAAAGGGGCTGGGAACCCATGCCTTGGGTTCAATCCCCAGTACCACAAAAAATAATAACAATAATAATTTACTTTCCTTTACGGAAAATCAGCTAGGGCTGTATTTGCACAATTTTCTTTTTTTTTTTTTTCTTTTTGCAGAACCGGGGATTGAACTCAGACCCTTGCACTTGCCAGGCAAGCGCTTATTCTACTGAGCCATCTCCCCAGCCCGCAATTTTCTCTTTTGAAAAGAAGGAAACTACAGAAAGTTCAGAAAGACAATTGCAAATTAGCTAGTTTACTGATAACTTGATTTCTCTGGGTTTCAAAAATTCTCGATCAAAGTAGTGCATTTTATATGTAAAATATAAAGGTTATTTTAGAATTTTCTGACATATTCATATTTGCACGTTACTAAAACATTTGCTTAAAAAAGTAAGTCTAGTCACATGAGGCAAACATTGACAGATTTTCTTTTAAACTTGTTTGAGTTCTGTGCCACCAGCCTATAAGTAAAATGCCACAGCATACTTCATTTATGAATAAGTTATGCATATTAATCATTGGACATTGCTGCATTTTAAAATAAGTTTTAATGTCCTAAATGATACTCGTTTCAGGTTTATGAAATTCAGCACACATCAGCTGTTCAAATTTTAACAACTTGTACAGCAATACATTTCTGTAGTGTGAAACTTGTATTTCTAAGCATTTAACTTAGCATATTTTCAGTATAAATATTAAATGCCTTCTAATACCTGGATAATACTATGATATATTATTGTGGCTTTCTGACTTCTACTTGGATAATGGTAAATTATTTTTGTAAAGTAACTGAAACAGATTTGCAGTGATGAGTTGAGCGAGTCTTTCTGAGCTGTATCAGTTCATTTGAAGACCACTTTTACCCTAATTTTTACATTTGACAATTCAATTAAGTACAACAATAAAAGGGTCTTGTCCTTAAATTGACTTTATCTTGTTGCAACCATTATAAGTACCTTATTTTGAAAAATTCCATTATTATATAGTTTTCCTGCAAAATGATAAGAAAATTATCAATACTTAGATGTTTAAAGTGTCACACATTTTACCTATTTTTGTCCAGAACTATTTTCATCTTCTTATCTGGCTGAATATTAGATAAATGATCTTTAGTAATAGTAGGCTCATAGCAAAGTAATCATTTTTCTTGGGCAAAGGCCTTTCTTTCCAGGGGACAGTCACTTCAAGCTTCCCAAGGTGTGGTCTTTCCACTCTCTAACAAGGGTTAGAAACATTTCTGCCAAGAAGCCTTCTCCATCTCCAAAGCGGAGCCCTGAGCACAGGTCAGGTGCTGAGTTTCTGTAACTTTTCTCTCACTGATTTATGCATCTAATTATATGCTCTACAATAAATCAGGATTAGACTATTTCAAATTGAGTAGACTAAGAACACATACTTTAATATGTTTTAATGCTACTGCTTAGCAACTTTATTACTTTTTTTTTTTTCAGAACTGGGGATTGAACTCAGGCCCTTGCACTTTCCAGGCAAGCGCTTATTCTACTGAGCCATCCCTCTGGACCCCTACTTTATTACTATTGATTATAAAACTGCCACAACACTAAAAATTTAGTCTCAACTGCTCTTTTCAGGTGAAGCAGACCATTCACATTCTAACTTGGCATCCACTAGTCCACAGATTTCTAATGGGATCAAATGACACCAGGATTCTAACATTTACTCATAATCCTGTCCCACATTACGCAGGAAGAGGCTAATTCATTCTTTCTTTCTTTCTTTTCTCTCTCTCTCTCTTTCTTTCTTTTTTTCCTTTATTTTAAGAAAGGGAGGAAAAGGCTATTTCTTAAGAGTATAAAAGTTTTCATTTCAGTCATGTTGTGCTTTACTTAATACGAGTCTCAAGAACAACCTTCAGAGCTTTTTGGACTTTATCCTTCAACTTGACTTAAAAACAAAGTAGCAGCAGTTTGCAGGCCATGAAATATTACCAATGTATACACACTTCCACAGTGAAAAAGATTATTTAGTTCCATTGAATTTGTTATTCATGAAATTAGTTAAAGATATTAAAAACAATTTTTGTTAATCCTAAATCAGAAGATTTATTTGCTCATTAAGATTTAAGTTTCAGGGATCAAAGATATGTAGCTCAGTGGCACAAGCACCTCAAAAGGTCCCGAGTTCAATTCCTGATCCAAAAAAGTAAGTTTCACATTTAAACCCTCAATTAGAAAACATCAAGGAGTTGAGACTTAGGGAAAAAACCACTTAGAACCCTTAAAACCAAATTTTAGAGAAAACCAAGAAACCCAGATTAAAAAAGACACCCTATTTTCCACAATTCTATGCTGTATAGTATTCATTCTTGGCTTCTCCCTGAGAAAGAACTGTTTACATCAATGATTAAAAAATAAAATCAATACCAAAACATGGAACTTAACCTTCCTGGCCTAACCAGAAATCCCTGGTTACACTGATACAAGACTTAAGATTTCCTCAGCAAAAAGACTTCAAAATAAGCAAGAGTACATTGCATGTCATGACCTAAATACAGGACTGTCAGAGGAAGAGACGTTAATCTTCTTGGTTCTCTCCTGGGCAAAGACCCTCCATAACAAAGGCCTCTCTTCTTGCTTCTCTTTAACTTTCCCAAATCTCACCCGCCTGCGAACTCCTGAAACCAGCAAAGCCAGCTGCGGAGCGAAAGCTCAGCGACCTGTCCTGTCCTGAGTGCACCAACAAAGGGAAAGCCACAGGGAATTGGCCACATAAAGATTGGAGACATTTTATGGTCAGGAAGGGCCATACTTTAAGACAAACCCAGAATGTGGTCCTTTTAAAGCCTCAGGAAAACCTCCAGTTGTGATTGCCAAATCTCACCCTAGCCTCTTTTCCACAAAACTGATCTTGCCCTACTTTTCCATGCAAGCCCCAGATACACTTGCCCAGAAGTTTGCAAACCAAAGACGCCTCCCCCGACAGGCACCCACAGGGACCGTCCAATTCCCAGAGAAACCTGACCACGCAGTGAAGCCTCCCGGAAGAAGCAAAGATCAAATGAGACCGGCTCTGCGGGTCTTCCCGAGGTGACCCTGGAGCGAACGTATTTATTTTCACGCTGCAACTGCTGATTGCTTTACAGAGATATATCATGCTGTAGCTCTGCATGGAGCTGAGGACAAAAGAAACATTTTATTAATGTTAAAATTATTATAATTACTCTTTAACAAAGCTATTAAATAACCTGTACAAAGCCCGAACCAGCCTTAGGGAAAACCCAAGCACCATTTCAAATGTCCCAAGGTCCCTCCACTTTGACTCAGCAGCATTGCCTGCATAACAACCAGCTCGGAGTGGTGACCAACAGTGGTTGGTCTCAGGGGCTGGAATTTGGAGCTACCCTGGCATAACTCTGAGCTCCCAACCATAACCCAGTCAGCCTCGATTTCCAACCCTGCCACCCTTGCCCCTCCCTCTGTCCAGGACCTGGACAGCTAGAGGCCTGGCTCCACTCTGGGAGGCCGGCAGCGGGCAGCCCGTCCGCTGAGACTGAGTGCCTGCTGCCCACAGGCTCCAGGTCCTCCTGTCCCTTTCCATAGGTGCTGGGAAGGGCGTGAGGCAAGAGTGGCCCCAGGGTGGGCTCACAGATCCCGCGGATTCTCTCGCTTAACCCCGGCCTCTGCAACTTTGAGCTTCTTATTTTGGTGCGTCTTGACGTGCTTGGCCAGGTGGTCGCTGCGCATAAAGCGCTTTCCACACTCAGGGCAGGCGAAGCGCTTCTCGCCCGTGTGAGTCCGCAGGTGCCGCTGCAGCTCGTCCGAGCGCGTGAAGCTCTTGCCGCAGAAGAGCCAGTTGCACACGAAGGGCCGCTCGCCCGTGTGCCAGCGCAGGTGCGCCTTCAGGTGCGACGTCTTGCCGTACACCTTGCCACAGCCGGGCACGTGGCACACATGTTGCTTCTTTTTGCCCGGCTCCGCCTCGGGGGCACCGCCCGCTGCCTGGCAGTTGGGACAGCGGCAGCGGCGGCACCTCCTGGCCGTGGCCGCCAGGGGGGCCTTGGTCTGCAGCAGCGCGGCGATCTGGCTCTGGTACTGCGCGAAGTCCGACGGGCCCAGCACCAGGCCACGCTGCAAGGCTGCAGCTGCCGCAGCGGCCGCAGCCGCTGAAGCTGGAAAGCGGGGTGCGTGGGGGGGCCCGGCACAGGCGCTGGAGAGGCCACCACCCGGGACTCCGGAGGCCCCGGGGCCGGCTCCCGACTGCGGGATGCTCCACCACGGGAGGTCGTCGGGGGCTGGGGTGGGCGACAGCTGGCGGCAGGCTGGTGGTGGCGGCGCGGGCAGCAGGTTGGAGTAGCCAGGCGGCAGCGCGGCCTGCGCAGCGTAGGGCACATAGGCGGGCGCACAGGCGGCGGGCAGGGTTGTCATGCTGGAGGGCAGCATCTTGACCGGCGAGAACTCGTAGGGGTACGAGGGGTCGGCTGGGGGCGTGAGCGGGAGCTCGTGCGCAGGCCCAAAGGACGGCTGCAGGTGCGTCTTCTGAGGCGTTAGCCCCAGGCTAGGGTGCGGGGGCGGCAGCGCGCCGGGTGAATGCGCGGGCATGTCGGCGCTCCACGGGTGGAAGAGCCTGGAAGGCGAGCCCAGGGCCGGGTCGTAAGGCACCTGCAGGAAGTCCGGGGCCGCAGCCGCCGCTCCGGGCTGGCCAATGCGGCTACAGGTGGCGGCCAGCAGCGCCAGGGGCGAGTGCTTGCCCAGGTCCGGGGAGGCGCTGGGGGTGCGGTCCTGCATGGGCGCGGAGGGGAGGGCGGAGAAGAGACAAAAGGTTAGCGCTCCCAGCGCGGACTCTGGGCAGGCCCGCCGCCCCCACGCCCGCTCTTATACCTCCGCCCCTCCTCCGCCGACCGGCCCTCCCCCGCACCCCACGCGCGCACCCACGGGCCCCGGCAAAGTTAGGGTGCCTGTGCTCCCCGCGAGCGAGGCACGCGAGCGCTTGCTGCTAACCTACTTGGTGCGAGGAGACACCGTCCTGCCTTCAAGGAAGCGCGAAGGGGAGGCAGAGGCATCCGACGGGCCGCTCCAGGCCCCGCGGTCGGTAAAAGCTGCCCAGCGCCCGCCCTCGCATCCTTCAAACTCTCTCGCGCTTGCCACCCTCGCGCTCCTTCTCGGCCCTCGGGAGGCCGTCATCAGCAGGAGGGCCCGGCAGGAGGACTCCGGCCCAGTTCACGGCCACTCGCGCACCTCCCAAGCCCCAGATCCACGTGTCTCTCTACGAGGCCGCGCTTCTGACACCAGGGAGGTGTGAAGTTGGCGTGAGCAGCCCTCCGTCTGACTCCCGCTGCACCGCCGAGGGGCTTCCCTATGCCCGGAGAGCCGCACCGGGCGGATCCGACCCGGCCCTGCCCACCTGCCCCGCCCCTCGGGGCCGGGGCCTGACCTGGAGGAAGGCCTGCAGCGAGTCGTTCCGGAGGACGGCCACCGCGGCCATGGCTACAGCTTGGGGACCGCTGGCCGCGGAGCGGGGCGCCGCCGCGCAGGCATGGACACCCGAAGGCGAGGACGCGCAGCCGCCCAGTGTGGCTCCCCGGCGCCCGCTCTGCGCGCCGGAGCCCTGAGCCCTCCCCGCCCGCGCCCAGCTCGTCGCTCCTCGCTCGCTGGCCCCGCGCGAGGTCTGAGCGCTTCAGGATCACCTCCAAGAATTTGATAAGGACTTTGCTGGGCCGCCAGCCAGTCAGAGGGAAGATTTATGGCTTTGAAGTTTGCCGCTACCCAATCATCAAAGAATAGCGGCTCTTTCAGAAGCGAAAGCAAATCCTTTGAATCCACAAAGCTCCTATGGTGTGTTTGTTGGTCTGGATAAAAGAACTGATTATTAGGGGGGATGGGAAGGGAGGAGATAAAGGCGGGACAATTAATGAAGTAATCACTATGTGGGAAATGTATATACACAAATAATTGGATTTTCCTGATCAAAGGGGGCCTTGCCGCCTAGAGACTCGCACTTGGGTTGCTCGAAACACTCGATCCCCCGCCCCCACTTGCAATTAAAGATTTGCACCGCGGCAGCGCCCAAAGTGACAAAGTGTCTTTGTTATCTGTAGAAAAATCTGCTTTCAGGCGCAGGACTTCGAGACCGGGATGAGGGTGACTCTTTTCAATATTTCTCTCTCCGAACACGCGGCACGCTCACCCGCCCGCGCGAACGGAGGACCAGCGCGCGAGCTCCTGGGGCGGGGCGTAGGGCCAGCCGCAACGGGTCGGCCGCGTGTCCCCCGCCCGCCGCGGCGGAGCCTCAGGCAGGGCTGTGACCCGGGCGGGGCGGGGCGGCCGCCCAGGGTGGCAGTGGGTGGCGCGCACACTCCGGCGCCGCCCGCCAGAGGAGCGATCTCGCACTCCAGCGAAGTTCCTGCTGGTGACCTGGAAGTTTTCCTCAAGCCACAACTTTTGCTGAGTGAACCTGAGAAAAACATCTGCCTGGAGCTCATTCCCAGAGAGGAGTTTGGCAGGACTCCAGAACAAGCCCTGACACACACACTCGAAGGGGAAGAAACTGTGCTGTGCTGCCCTCTTCTCCCCAGGCGGGCAGCCCTGGCCTCAGAGGAGAGCCTGGAGGTGGCTGACTGCTGGGAGGCTCCTCCGAGGTCCCCAACGATGCCAGTCATTTGTCTCCTTAACCCTAGGCAAGCGAGTGAGTTGTCACTAGCTGGAGCTCTAGGCAGCTTCCTGGGAAAAATAAGGTGTAGTCAGGAAGCCTTTATTCTTGTGATTCAACAAACCACAGATCATACAGGAAGACTCCTGGAGGAGAAAGAAAAGTCAATACAAACTCTTGTTCCTGTCATCTTTGGGAAAAAAAAAAATTCTGCACCAGGGGAAGTGCTCTCCAAGATATACTCTGGTCCCCCCAACCTTGGTGGCTATCCACGCCTTGCAGAGTAGGACAGGTGGCTGCAGGTGTCTCTCTGGCCCAGAGCGCTGGGCGCATCCTACCCGGGTGCTGGGGACAGCGGCATCAGTTTCCTTGAGAGAGCCGGGAAGGGAAGGAGGAAGAGGCTGGCGTGGCATCGGGGGTCCTCACTGCATTGCGGGTTTTGGGTGCCCTGATTCAACTCAAAGGCCTTGCAGTCGAGGTTCTTACAAGTGCACAGTGCAGTGGGGCCGCCTGAGTTTGACCAAGCCTTATCCTCATCTGGCCCCTCAACAAACATAGTCTGAGTCCACTAGGCCCTTGGGAAGCCCGGAACCAGTTCTGCTCCTACCCCACCTGTCTGCATGTTGTCCTCAGGGGCTGCAGTGCGACCAGGAGTTAGCAGTCCAAGAACTGCATCCTGAGCTGTATATTGGGACCCTTCATATTTCCAGCAAGGGTCGAGACACTGTGCTAGCAGATAGGCCTTCAGTCTCCCATGCCCACAGCGTGGCAACTGATGGAAACATCTACTGAAGACACATAGGCCCTTCCCATGCCCTACCCTTGTGTCTGGTGCTCCCTCCCCCAAACAAACTTCTGGAACCTTGGGGAGCATCTCAAGGCTTGGCCTACCTGTGATCTGGCTCTTTCTCAATTTGAGGTTGGAATGTTAGGTAGGCAGGAAGGGAAGAGGTCTTAGAGGTTTGCTTTGGGGTCTGGCAGACTAGGTGAGAGTTGGGGCGAGCCTGGGTTCCCCCCTTTACTGCAATCAGAGTCCTGAGAGCCTCCTGGCGCATACTGGTGCAGCACAAGTTCTCACCCTCCAAAGCGCTCTGGTTCCTTGGCTTTGCTTTCCTCTCCAGTTCCTTTGAACCCACTTTTCCCCTGGGAAAAGGCAGACTGGGCTCAGCAGGCACAAGACACCCTCTTTTGCCAAAGCTGTTAGCTATCTTACAAAGAAGGCAAGAAGAGCCAATTCACATCTCCATAGTTTTAGGTGTGAACTTTTCCTCCAAGCCACCTCCATTAGCCAGTGAAACCTCATTCTGTGGCTCAGGGCAAAAGATTGATGACCTGGAAGAGTTCAGACTCAGAGCCACGGCATGTGAGCCTGGCCACTTTCTAGTTAGTGAATTTGGTAACCAAGTTACCCTGTCTCTTTGAGCCTTGGTCTCCCCATCTGTAAGGTGTGCAAAAAGTAACTGATTTTAAAAGAGTGAATACATGCACCATATTAAGACAGTGTCATGCGTACAGTAGACCCTTTCTGGAACATTCGTAGTCGCTGCTGGACGCTCCAAGGCATTTGGGCTCTGCCACGCCCCAGTTGAAGTTTACAGAGGGGCTTGTCAAACTGCTGTTTAACCTCTCTCCTTTCGCGCTCAGAGCGCCAGTAAAACTTCTTCCTAATGAAGTAATGTTTGGAGCATCCATTAAAAATGCAACGCCGGAGATCAAAGTACAATATTTATTTTAGAAATTTGTTGCAATCACCAAGAGATACAGGTATCAAGGCCAAATGTCAGTTCCGTTAGACAAAGCTCCGCGTCGGGGAAGAGCGTGTGGCTGCTCTGCCATAATATAAAGAGACATCAAAGACCAAGCGAGCTGCAAAAGTGCGCGGCCGGGAGGGCCGGGAGCGCCCCAAACAGCGCGGGGGCTGCGAGGGCTGCGGGGGCGGGGGTCAGTTCAAAGAGGTATCCGCTGGGGCCTGAGTTCACAGGAGGGAAGATTTAATGGGCTTTCCTTTGTTGGTGGGTGTATTTGTGCTCCGCGGACCCAGGAACTCCTCCGAGGTCTTCCCGCCTGGGGGCGGAGGTGGGGGAGCGCCGAACGCGGAACAAACTTTCTCCGCGGTGGGGGGCCGGGGGCGGGGGGCGGAGGGCCGGGTTGGAATCCGGGTCTCCCTGCAGCGGCCGGAGCGGCCCAGGGCTTCCAAGCAGCGGGGTTCCGAGGCTGGGAAGTTGGTGTCTCAGTTTTCCTCGCAGGCGGGCAGCCGGCAAATCCACCGGGTGCGATTTTCGAGAAGAGGATGAGAGAACCCGCAGAGGATCCTGGGCGGGGGGCGGATCACCCCGAGTGTACTTACTCACTCAAGCCTGGTACTGCCTGGGGCATTTGCTTCCAGCACCTGGGCCCCCACATCTCTGGCATGAAGCCGACCAGACACTCCCCCTCTCTGTACTTTACTTTTTTAAAAATGTGTTTTTGTTTTGTTTTGTTTTTTAGATCATCTCAACAAAGTTTTAACTCACTGGTCTTCTGCAGCAGCATTGTTTAACCGGCTGGTTCTGGGCCCTTCCCTGCCAAAGGAAGTTACCAAGTGCGTGCCTCTGCCAGTTACGCTAGCAGCAGTCCTTGTCTTATGAAAGGTGCTGGGATCCTCCAGCTAATGGGGCACTGAGCTGAAGGAAGATGCGTGTGCGCGCTGCCTCAGTCGTCTACCACCAAGCATTCTCAGAACAGTCCCTGGGCGGCCTTTTGAAGTCATGCTACAGCAGAAAGCTGCTATTGTTCTCATCTCTCAACGTGGAAGGGATCAAACTTTGCTTCTTCAGTTTGAAAGATTTTTTTTTTTAATGGTGGTGGTGGAGGGGAGGGAGGAGGGATTGCAATCTGATACTCTTTAAGTTAAATTGGAGGATTTGTGCAGCCTGTTTAAGCTGCAGACCAGATCGCAGATGCTCTAGCCTGTGCGTCACATAGACAGGGTCTCTTTGTCGTTAATGTGGCAGAGGGCTCAGTCGCAAGCATTTGTCCTGCTGAGGATCGGGTTTGGTGACCAGAATTTCCTTTGGCAGGTTTCTCTTCCATGGAAATGGGAATGTTACTTCAAGAAACCTTGCGTTAACTGAAGCCTCCAAATTGGATCAGTGTATACTAAGTGTAAAACTAAGGAGATTTTTATTTCATCTAATTCTACACCTTCATTTGATGACAAGAGGAAACATTTGAGAGCATTGTATGATATGTCAGGTGTCCTGCATGCATGGTGTTCTGAACTTCAGAAGGCGCTCAGTAAATGCACACTGGGGGTGGGAGGTACCGACCTCTTCTGTACAATGATTGGCCGGTTCGGTAAGAACTCAAAGGAAAAGCACTGGGGAAGACTGCAGAAAGCGAGGGAAGCTTCGCTAGCAACTGGGGTCTGGAGGAGACTTTAGAGACCCATAGATGGGGGGCCGCGGAGATGGCTCAGTAGAGTAAGGGCTTGCCTGGCAAGCACAAGGGTCTGAGTTCAATCCCTGGTTACACACACACACACACACACACACACACACACACACACACACCTAAATTGACTTAGGGATTTAGAGACCCATAGAATTTTAGTATGGGGGCTGGAAAGGAAGGAAGGGAGGATGGAAGGAACAGAAGAAAAAAGGAACTTTCAATTCACCCAGAAGCTAAACAGTTCTGGGCCTTTGGGTTGCTGGTGTAGACAGGGTGGGAGCGTTTGGAGACGTCAGGGATGGGAGTTAGTAGAAGTTTATTATGAACAAGGTCCTGTATCTGGACCATTGTCCCCTAGGAGGACTAGAATGACAGATGCAGATGCAGTTATATCTAAGAGTGAGATGGTGACTCTTTTGGGAACTGGTAGTAGTGATGAAAGAGTGGTTCATCATTCTAAAGGGGAAAAGAACAAAATTTGGTGACAGATTGGAATAATAAATAAATAAAATAAAATAAAGGTAAAATAAAGTAGCCCTCTTTTGAACAAATGATTGTGGGACAAATGGATATTCACCTGTAAAAGAAAGGAGTTGACATTTGGCCTAGTCCTAGCTGCTTGGAGATTCTAGGCAGGATAATCACAAGTGTAAGGCCAGCCTGGGTACATAATGAGGTCAAGGCCAGCCAGAACTATATTTCAAGACCCTATTTTTTTTTTTCAAAGTGATGTTAGGGATGAATGAATAAGGAAAATGTGATATATGTACATTATTGAGTTCTATTTCACTATAAAAAGATTAGAATTCTTTCACTTGTAATAATTTGGACAAACAGAATGCTAAGTGAAATAAGTCAGGCTTAGAAAGACAAATA